GCTCAGGTCAAGGAGATCAAGAACGGCCGCCTGGCCATGTTCTCCATGTTCGGCTTCTTCGTGCAGGCCATTGTGACCGGCAAGGGGCCCATTGAGAACCTGAACGACCATCTGGCCAACCCGGCCGTCAACAACGCCTTCGCCTTCGCCACCAAGTTCACGCCCAGCGCGTAATGTATCGCTGCTACGTTTGCTAGTCGAAGCGGTTGTCCGCATCTGCCGGCCGCTGCTGCCTTCAGCTACGTTACGTTGTTTAGCTATGTGAACGTAGACACAGCATAACCAATAAACTGCCAATACCGGTATACGAGACGTCACATGCATAGCAATTGCAGGCAGTAGTTGCCTATCCGTCGCTGTTGGGTAAATACGCTTGGATGCGCAGCTTGCCAAAACTGTTGAGTGATGCGTGGGTGCTTGTCAGTTATGTCCATCGAACCTCGTTGTCGCACTGTGGCCACCTCTGTTTTTGATGTCGTGTTCCTGCGATGAGTTCCCGCGTGGTGAGTGGTGAGCAGCGGCGGAAGCGGTCCTGTTACGGGCCTGAAGTTTTGATGTGGGTGTTTCCTAGTAGGGGTTTCCCACAGCACGGGTGTTGAGGTGGAGCTCTTACTTTTGGGTGGGGTATTGGGCGGCGAGACGTGAGATATCAAGAGCTTCATACAAAGCGCATGCACATGCTGGATGCGTTGCGCCAAGCAAGCTCCTGTAACATTTCGGTGTTCATGACATAAGGAAGGTCTCGGTTCCAGTGCTTGTTTCACCGCTTCTTGGGTCTGGAGCACATACAGCCATTTTGGTGGGTACGTACTGCAAAGGCGGCCACGCAAACAGGCACACATGGAGAACACGCGCGAGACACGAGCTAAAGGAACATCAAGCGTACAGCGGCCTCGGCCTCCGCGAACCAGGCTCGCTACCTTCCTCACAGCCAGGAACTACGTTGCCACTGGAAGGTACCCCGATGCACCAAGAAGGCTTATTGTGGCTTATGCACCGATGCACCAAGAAGGCTTATTGTGGCGCTCGCCTCGGGCTTATGTGTTCCGTTTCGGATAGCACAGCATCAGCACCACGAAAAACCTGTCGATATGCATAACACAAAATCACAAACACACACATCCTCACAAACACAAACACATACAAACACACACAAGCTCACACAAACTCACAAACACAAGCCACACACTCACTCTTTTTCTTTTTCTTGTCATGCAGAACACACACACACACACACACACAGGCACACACACACAGGCACACACACAGGCACACACACACGCCACACTTAAGTCGAAGGAAAAAGGCACGAAGTCGGACTGGAGCCTTGTAATGAGTGATGCCGTTACCTGGATTACAGTCCGGTGTAGAACCATGGGACGTGCAATGATATGGAGTCTTAAAAGCTCGTCAACCAGATGGACGCCGCTGCATGCTGGCTACTGCTTTCAGTATCACCCTGGCTGGCAGGCCCCTTTCGATCAGTTTCGCATCCGCAAGGCCAGAGCATGCAGCATCGCCAATGGTTTGACCACCTGCTCCCGTAGCTTAAGAACCGAATACCGTATGCCAGTGCCATGGTTCCAGTACTCCCCCAGAGAGGCAGGACGACACACACAAATAGGCTACCCGCTGTCCCTTGTCTATCTGATACTGCCCCGCGATTTTATGCATAAAACTGCTGGTCACAAGAAGTTCGTCTTTGTTCCTTTCACCACGGTTTAATTGATAGCATGAAGCTAAGCATGCGTGGAGTGCTGAACATGTAGCGTGCGTGGTGAAACCCCTGGCAAAAGAGGTAACAAACAGAGGGCGTGCTGGCGTTCTGTTCAGTACTTCAGAGGTCAAAGGCAAGCCATGGGCAAAGTAGGAGCTTTTCCCAGGTGCCAGCCTTAGGCTCCGACGTTTGGAAGCCCGTGGCCGATTGTAAGTTGCGAAGAGCTCATGCGTTTGGTTGAGGCCGCCCGTCCTCCCTTGATCGGATGTGTTGCTACGACAGGTTGCTACGGACGTGCTTGTTGCCTTCCTTCGGTCCTAAACGGCCTCCGGTTCGGCGCTGTCGCCCTTTTGCGGTCCAGCAGAGCTTGGACCTTGTGTTCACCGGCCCTGTCCGGGATGGAATGCCCTTTGCCGTCCTAAGCAGCGTGACCCATTATATCAGCTTGCTTCCTAGCAAGGACAACAGCTACTGTCCTCCCGTCCTACGGTACTGGTAATGAGTAAAGGCCGAACAGCTAGGGTCAAACATGGAGAGACCACTTTTGGCGCCTAAAGAATGCTTTGCAGTGCGTATCAAAATCCATGTTCAGCGTGCACGTCACAGCATTTATACAGTCGCCACTGAGTTATCCTTGCATCAGAAACTGTATGAA